CTTAGATGGAGGAATAATTATGTTTGTATGACCACTTGGTTGAGAGACTTAAGTATTCTGATCAGGTGCCTAGCATGGGATCCTGAACATAGCTCTATAAATATAATTTGCTTTTCCTACACCTTCATTTATTCAACAGATATTTTTAGAGCAGCTGATTTTGTGCCACAGAGAACGTATTAGTCAGCATAGGCTACATTATGCTGCAGTAAGGAAGACTCCTCGAATCTCAGTTGCTTAAACACACCCAAAGTTTACTTCCCTTACTAACTCAAAGTCTGCTGTATGTTTAGGTGACTTTACAGGGCAACTCTTCCCATGTTGCAGTCCAGACTGCCTCACTCTTTTAACCTAACCATCTTAGGTTAAAACAAGACATCTGTAAGGATCCCTGCAGCAGAGACCATGCTATACAGCACTGCTCTTAGATATTCCTACCTAGAAGTGACCCACATCAGTCAGCTTGCAATCCATTGGTCAAAACTAGTCCTGTGGCCTCCCCTACTTTAAGAGGATGAAGGTGGAGTCTTCTGTGAGCCAAGAATGAGAGAAGAACCAGATACTGATGAACACAAGCAATGTGTGCCACTGCTTGGCAAGGCACTGGGTACTTAGTAGTGAACAAACCAGACATCCATAATCTTTCCCTCATAGAGCTCTCAATCCAGAGTGACATGCTGCTGGGAAAGCTATAGCATCTGTCAAGAGCCAGGTTTCTGCCCAGGTAAGGCAAGTAACTAGATCAAAGGTATTGCATTCAATACGTATGAAGTTATATGGGAAAATAGGAAAGGGTAACTGTTGAGTACAAGTGACAAGTATGGAAAACTTAGCAATCTTCAATAAATATTTACTGAATGAATGTTAAGTGAGGAATAAGAAGAAATTTCGCTCTGAAAAACTAAATGGGAAAGGCAACAGAGAGAGAACAGATATAGGAAGAAAAACACATGGAAACAGTTTATGCTTTTCAAATGTTCTGAATAATATTTGGGAATAAAAGCTGTTCTTGCTATATCTGCTGCTTCCAGTAAGCCTGAAATATTTCCACGCTGGTCTCTTCTGCCATAGTTGGGCTGTGGAGGAAGGAGTTCCCAGCCAGACGGCTTCATTCTTACCTAGTCAAGAATGTAGGGAATTCCAGGGAGCTTGGACTTGGACTCATCTTCTAGAATGTTTTATGATGAATGAAGTTAGTGGATGGGCAACTGTCAAACGTAGAGGGTCACAGGAAATGAGCAATTATGCTACTATAAATACTGAAAATGTTACAGAATTATGCAAACACCCTATGAATATAAAATTTGAATTTGTATTAAAAATGAATGTATATAAAAAGTGACAGAAAATGTGAAAAAAAAAGAAACATTGATAATGCAACCTCTAGAGATAAACCATGTTAACATTTTGGTATAGTTCATCTCAAACATTTTTCTAGGCACATACGTTCATTTGCCTTACAAAACAGATCATATAATACATAGTATTCTGTCACCTCCCTTTTACTTAACTATTTTTCTTGAATATTTTTCCATGTCAAGAAATATCCTTCTACAATATTATTCTTAATAGCTGCGTGGTATTGCATCATATATATATATGTCAAAATATATTTTCTTATCATCCTTTTAAGTTATTTACAGATGGTTGCTATTATAATATAAACAATGCTGTTATGAATGTACTCTGGTTGAATTTTGTGCACCTCTTTATTTTATAGGTTATTAAGTTTTTGAAATTAGAATTACTGGGGCAAAATTATATATATTTTAAGGCTTATTATGTGCATTACCAAATTGCCCTCTAAAATATTATTTCAGTCTACATTCCTACCAGCAATGGATGAGAGCAGAAGGGTGTTTAGGGAGCTCCTAAGTCTACAAGTGTGGTTATAGAGAATGGAATATATTATGAAATGTGTATTTAATCTTGACAGCTGTTGGCAGACAGGGGCACTAAATATATTATTTTTAAGTCCCCCATCTTATATTTAATGCCTTATGCTAAAATCATAAGTATGAGAGCTTCACGTTAGACTTCTTAGAAAGGAATCTAAGACAGATTTCACATATTCTGCTAAATGGGTTCATTAATATCATGGGTGCTGGCATAAGATCCATGGGTGATATCCGGAATGAGTTCCTCACTCGACAAAAATTACTGAGCTTTGCCACGGTCATATCTATGCTTTGATACATGGCTGTTGCTAAATATTTGTGCACATATTTAATGGTTTTTCTGAATGCTAGACAATTTCCCTTTTTTCTAAAGAGGAAACTGAGAACATTTTTTGTCTAAATTGGCTGTGTAAACTTTGCGGGACATAGAAGAAATACTCAGGTGTCTACTTATAATATGCAGCCTACAAATTTAGAAATAAATAATTAATACTGTAAAGCACATAGCATGTAGAATGTTTTGGAAGTATTGCTCTTTTCCCACCCTTATATTTTATCAAGCAGTTTTAATCCAACGTCCCCTCCCGTGGAACTTGACATCAGAATGTTGCCACCTTTTCAGGTACCTGGCATGTTTCCATCACCTGTCATCTGGAATTCAGCCTTAGCGGTTTGAGATGCAAGGCTTGTGAAACTGTGTATGATGCCATTACTGGAACTCTTTTCCCCATCTGTAAAAACCCACTTAATACTCATGATCTCCAGTAACCACTATTACCTTTTTCAGTGATTTTTTTAGTGATCTTTAAAATACTTGTTTTCAACAACATCCAACACTTAGAACTGTTAGGTCATGTCTCCCAAAATAAGTACTAAGTCAGTATTAAATTCCTTTGCTTTCGTTTTTACCAGTCCCATCAAGTGAATGACTACTAAAACGATCCAAACATCTCATCAGTGCAAGCTGTTTTAGGTTAAAGCAACTTCCCTAAACAGTACTCTGTTCAAAATAAAGTAATTGAGAGAATGCCTAGCATTATGAGAGACATCATAATGACTTTAGTATAAAATGTCTCTCTTTCTCAGGATAATTTTGGGGAATAAAAATCTCACCTTATATTTGTCCATATATTACAGCTTAAACAAAAAGAGATTCGTAGAAATATCTTTTGTGTTCTTATACAAAGTGACTATTGAATATGAAAGCTTTTGTCCACCTATTAAAATATCTAAAAAATCACAGTAGGACTGTAGAGCATATATCGCATATAGATACACTGGAAATATAGGTGCATAAAGCCTACTGCTTTGAAAATACTTTGGGATCTTTTAAGAACTGCAGCTTCTACCTGATTAAACCTCCTCCCAACCCAAATATATTTTTACTGTAATACAAAACAATCAAAAGCCAGCAGGAAATATTTAGAATAGATATTCCCTTGGGGATCCATAACCAAAAATTTTTAAAGTCAAAATGAAAAATTTCTTAAAACTGCCTGGCTAGATTTCCCTATAGTGTTACTCGCTCTTTAAGATATGTTATATTGTTTCCATTCTTTTCATCCACGTATCTCCAAGCGAATCAGACTAAAAGAACATATTAAAGAGTAAGTGGCAGCTATCTAATTAATATGGCTGGAGATAGCATATGGCGTAGTCTTTACTTTCAATCTCTTCTGAGTCTTTGTTCTTGCCCACAGCAGTGGAGTATATGAGAACTATCCAAAAACTTCCCCATGGTACATGTATGTAATCTGCATCATCTTAAAAAGGGATGAGCTCCTTTCCATTGCATTCTTTATTATTTGAAGCAAATCAAACAGAGTTATAGAGTTTAAAATAGCTACTAAATTCTAATTCTATAAGAATTTACAATTTTTTTGAGATTAGAAATGCCGCTTTAAAATGTTAATTAGAAGACGCATTTGTTTTAATTCTTGATACTGAAAATATTGACTGAATTGTGAATTAACACATTTAGGGTTGCAGATGTCATTTTTCATGAGATTTCCTGAATGATGCAATTTTCATATTTCATATAGCAGTTTGATCAATTTACAGATTTATTTTACATAATTAGTTGGTAAATGAGAAATTCAATTCCTGATATATAACGATTTCTCTGTAATATAGAAAATAAGTTAAAATTCTGAATTATAAATAAAAAAACAAATATTTTCAAGACATCTGGTCCACATCTGTCTGAAATAAGATAATTTAAAACAGTGTAATTAAATGCAAGAAATACTGGAATATTCACACCTTAGAATGTAAAAAATAACTCATTCCATATTAATGTGATTTCTTGAATTGGTGATTTTTTTTTAAAAAAATTAATGTCCTTTAGCCTCTCATTCTGTCATTACAAAGAAGACTGACAAGCTAAACAAACAAAAATAATCCATGTTTTTCAAAGCCTCTACTAAATGAATTATCTGTATTACTATTATTCTTTTATATGTCAGTGAACCTCCACTCCTAAGTTAATACTCAGTGGACTTAGACTCAGGCCTACCCCTTCTTGATGTATTTATAATTCTCCATTCAGTTATTTTACATGAGAGATTAGTGAGAGAGTCTGTAATCTCACTCCCGAAATTGTGTGTTCATTGTGGGCACAAAGGGGCTCAGGGAATGGGAGAGGAAGGCATTCACACTCATGGAAATGAAATAGCATCTTTGGTATAATCTCATGATTAGTAGAGCATCATCCCATGAAGACTGGTCTTTTCGTTTGTTAAAAACCTGTGCAAAGTGAAAAATTAACCATATTAGGAGAAAGGAAAATGCACTAGACTTTCTATAGTGTAACCAAAAAAATGGGAAAAACGTGATAGAGTGCTCCTTTAATATTTTGGCTTCAGAGCCCTAAGAATTCAATAGGACTGGATTTTGATTCCTGATAGAGATATTATATTTATGGAAAAAAAAAACTCAATGATGAAGCTCCAATATAAGGTGATGGGAGAAATCTCTGCTTGGATGCCTGTGACATTCCTAACAATAGACCACAAAAGGACCTGATGCTGTAACAAGTGAAAATACTATTCCTAACACGTACCCTAAGATATCACAAGTTATATTTTTTGTGTTTATTTCCAGGGAACATGATAAAGATCCAGAGAGTTTTTTTAAGGTATTAATGCATCTTAAGGACTTAAGACTCAATTTCCATGTATCTGTCCTTGGAGAAACCTTCACAGATGTCCCAGGTATCTATTTTGAATTTTCTAATGTGTATTTTTATAGATGACATAAGCTCTACAACTTAAGTATTAATTTCCATGTTTCCCTTTGTTAGAATAATCAAGATGAGCACTGTTAACCAAAAGATTATACAATAGCATTAAAGTGGGATTCAATTAAAAAAATACTTCAGTAAGCATTCTTTGACTTAAGTTGAGAACATGAAGTCATTTTATCAAATATAGTTTATACAATGCATCTTGATGTAAATAAAATATGTTGCTTTAGGCATCTTAACACTTAAGGATAAGTGGGAATTTGTAATTGGATATACAACCTCTCACCTATGGGGTCACTGGCTTGAATCCTACCCACATTGGTAATGGCTGAAATACATTACCATCTGTTAGGTGGCCTGTGTAAAGCATTTTGGCATCAAACTTGTAACATGGAGTAAACCACAATTCGTATCGTAGTTTTCATTGGTCCGTCCCTTTTTATTGAACTTGAGAAACTAGCAAAAATCCTAAGCACATACATGTTCGTATTTTTTAAGCTTTGGGTGTTCAGGCTTTTTCTTTTTTACTCCAAATATACAGACAACAAAGGTTCAGAAATGACCTCTGTCATGATGCATTATGACTCTTTTTTTTTTTAAGATTTTTATTGGGGAATTGGGGGATGGGAATAGCACTGGGGGGTTGGGGGAAGGGGAACAGACAATTTGCTGTCGTTTTGTTCTTCAGTCTAGTTGTGGAGGACATTGCTTCACTGGCCCAAGTTGGCACCATCATTGCGTTCTCCAGGTTGAGCTGTTGTTCAGCATCTTAGCTGTAGAGGGCAGTGTCACTGGCCCTCATATGTGGGATCCGAACCGGGGCCCTGTGGTGTCCCAAGCCAGCTCTTAACCAACACGCTACTCGGCCGGCCCTGCATTATGACTCTTAAAGACCACTTAAAGTTTACCCGCAATTAACAAGTACTTCTTCATTCTGGTTCAATGCTCTGAACTGCACCCAGCCTGTGTCTCAGTAGCCTCTTCTGATATGCCTCATCTTCTGCCCCATGTGCTTGTGGATACCAGTCTTTCTTCAGTTCCTCCAAGGTCCCAGGTTCTTTAGATCTTTGTACACTAGCCTGTTAGTGTCTATTTTATCCTTTCCTTCCTCACTCAGGGGCATTTTCTTTCAGTATGGTCTCATAGAACCTTGTATTTTTACTTCATGGTGCTTAGCTCAGTTTTTAATCATATAATTATGTGTAATTTTTTATCTCATCCCTCCAAGCACACACACATGCTAGAATGTTGGTGCTTTGAGAACTGGGATAATATCTAGCTTATTCTTCATTGTACCCCAAAGCCAAATGCAGTGCCTGGCACAGGCTGGAACTCAATGAATATTTGTTAGGGTAACGGGTAAAGATAATGTAAACTCCCTGCCTTCAAGCAATTTATAGTTTCGTTGAGTAGGGAACACGTGTGCATAAGCACAGGAAACAGAGAATGAAACACAAGGTAATATAGTTATATATTAGTACTGACATATGTGGGTTAGAGTGTGGAGCCTTTAACTGAAGTTAGCCCTTGCATAGCCAAAGGATTAGGATACTCCAAAAGCAGATACATAGCCAAAGCATATAGAAGCAAATATTTTAGACATTGTATTTAAATGAGAGAACAATTTCAGTAATTAGTGCTACCAGATCACTAATCTAAGCAGAATAGGAAGTTCTGCACACACAACTGAATAAGTAATAGGTACCACCAACGTATGGAGGAGCTTAGTAGCCAAAGCAGATTAGGGAAAGCTAATAAATAAGGAGCCTAGATCCTGAACAGGGAAAAAGTATGATAAGACTTGTGCTTTAGGAAGGTTTATCTTGCAGTGATATGGAAGCAGAACCTCAGCAAGACCCTACAGTGGGGACCCAAGAGTGGTCGGTGAGGCAGCGGCTGAGAGATTAGTGACAGGGCTGTGTGAGAGAGAGATTCTCAGGGAAACACAGAAAAGAATTTTGGTAGGTGGATGGCTGTAGAGAAAGAAGGAAGACAAACCTCAGCTCCTTTGCAAAACTGCTGAGTTCAGTTTTGTTTGTGCCAGTTTTGAGGTGTTAATGCACAGACTGAGAAGAGTGGCTGGAGGGTAGCCCTTAGCAGAGGCTCCTGAGCCAGTTTTACTATTGGGTAGTTTTAGGCCTCCACTGCAAAGAATACCAGGATTTTACTCAAAGGGTCGGCCATCTCTTTGAGTTCACAGTCTGCCTCCCACATATTAACACTGAGCTATTCAGAGTATGTGGAGTGAGGAGCAATTAGGAACCCAAGTATGGAATGCCTAGGAATTACTGGCCCGATCTTATTACTCACTTTGACTTCACTTCAACACATACTTACTGATCACTGTGGAAGGGGGATTCCATGGTGACCAGGACTCCGTCTCCACCATCAGGGAGCTCTGCCATGGAGAGACACTTATATATGATTAACAGGTACGTAGGACACTGTGAAATAATTATGAATACTGGGGAAGCCCATTGGAAGGGGCTCGTGTTATCTGTGTACATGCTTCTGTTACTCCCAGTCTCACCGGGGCTCATTTCTGCTTTAGCCTCTGATCCATCTCTGTCATTTCAACTGTGAATCAACTCTTCTTTTATTGGCTACAACACCTCATCTTGCACATAGGAGAAGCCCAAGTTGTAGAATGGTGAATAAGCCTGATAACTTTCCAGGCTATGCTCCTAGAAAGCCACCTTGCCAGTCTTCACTCCAGAGGTTTCCTACCAGGCCGTTCTGTGTAACTTCAGCCATTCCTGTCACCATTCTGGTTTATTTAACTAGCACTGTATTCCAGGCATTGTGCTCAGCCTCATTCTAACTATTGTTCTCCATTATTCTCAGGTGAGGAAATTGAGATATAGAGAAATTAAGTAAGGTTACCCAGTTAGGTAGTACTTGAACCACTATTGTAGAATAATACAATTTACATGCCTTATCAAGTACATAGAAATCTACATTGAAACAATTTCCAAACACTAGAGAGTTAGTGAATGAGAATAGAGAACTCTCAGACTTAAGGAAGTTCTACGTAGTTTTTTATTACATTTCCTGTTTTAATGTAGGTCACCTTGATTTAACGTAAATCTATTTTTCAATCTTATTCTCATCTTTCATCCCTTACATCAGTCAGAATAAGCTAAGTTATGCTAAGCAAGCAGATGACCTTAAAATCTCAGTGGCCTAAAACACATGAGATTTATTTCTTATTTAATACACATGCTATATGTGTATTGCAGGTGGGCAGTAGTGTCCTACTCATTATGGTCACTCAGGGACCCAAGCTTACAGAGAGACCTAAGCTAACACCATCTCAAACATTGCCAGTTACCATGCTGGATGGAAGAGAAAGCTAGGAGGGTCTCCCACTATCAATTCAGTGCTTTGGCGTAAAGTAACATGAGGTTCTACTAAACTCATTGGCCAGAACTTGTTAAAAGGTACTGTCCAACCATAAGGGGGGCCAGAATCTAGGGGAGGAGAAATACTTGAGGAACTGCACTATTGACCACCATAGCTCTTTAATATGCATCATGATCTGCGGGTCATTAGCCTATGCAAAACGTCTGGGAGAGTCTATCCTGGTTGACTAAAGATCTCTTAACGAATATGAAAGCATAGCCCACAGTCTTCTTGCTAGACACAGCCAAGCTGATATCTGTCTGAAGACACATCTTAGCAACTATGTCGCATCAGGAAGAGCAGACATGAAGTTAAGTTGGTTTCTGTGAGAATGGAGTTAATTATCACTTACAGGTGAATTGGTACTTTTGGAAAGTTTATAGTGTCCATCAGCAGAAGTGGTTTTGCCCTGCAGCCCAAGGGGACATTTGCCAATATGGTTGTTATAACTGCTGGAGTGGGGGGAGGGTGTGGGGTGGTATGGCACCTCATGGGTAGAGGCCAGGGATACTGATAAATATCCTACTATACGCAAGACGGCCCCTCACAACAAAGAAATGTCCAATGAAAAATGTCCGTAGTGCCAAGAATGAGGAACCCTGATTTATGGAAATTGAAGTCAGAAGATCAGGTTTGGAACAGGGTCCTTTAGCTTTCTAGATTAACCTCAGTCAATCCATCTGTACAGTACAGAGGAGGATATGGGAAAGAGGAACACCAATAACAAAACTACCTGCCTCACCACTTCAGTGAGTTATAGTGAAGATGTCTGCACAATTAGATAACTTGGGGGAAAGTGCTTTCTATACTACTATGCAGATTTTATTATAAGACTCATATACTTCAATCAGAGTTTGCCTATGGACTGAGTCTAATGCATTTTGGATCCAAAGAGGACATTAACAATGCTGAACCTTAAAAGTTCATTCTTGCTATTATTTTAATTACTTTTAATCCAGAAAATTGAAAGGTCATTCTGCTACATAAAACATCCTTAGACTCCATGTTACAAATGAGCCAAAAAGCTGAGAAGCTCCTCAATGCAAATATTTTAGTTTTGGCCAGTTCTCATGACAAGGTCACATTGTTAGCCCTTGAGATGGTTTAGGGGGAAAAGAAAAAAAAAGCAAATGCTTAAGATATCAAATCAATGGAATGTGTTTGTATACTTAATAATTTCCCACAAATGATAATTCTAAACAAAATATTTTTTTCTATAAAGAGCCAAAAACCTTACATCAGGATTCTTTCCCGACTGCAGACATGGTGGGAGAACAAGTTTAGCTTTAGGCATTGGGGGGGGGAGAAGGGGGGTTGGGGGTTGCAGAAATGTTGCAAGGAAAGTAAAAGCCTGAACTACAGTTTTGGCAGACAGAAGTCTTTCTGGTTCACCTTTAATTTGAGGTTAAGAACAGTATGTGGAAGGCTTCTGGTTAGTATCTGGCATGACAATGGTTATTACTGTGATCTTGGCATATTCCTGATCCTTAGCTCTGGAGTCAAATGTTGGGTAATTATATAACATTTTCCTCCCCTTCCATCTCCCTTTTCACTAAGCTCCCAGCT